CCTTGGGGCAAAGCTTGGATGTCATTCATCTGCTGTGGACACAGCCACAAACCAGCACTGGTGTTTTGCATCCCTCTGCACAGTGCACCAGTACTGCCTGCTGTGTCTCTAACCTGGGATGCATTTTTCACCAGAGCCTGCAAGTGAAACGAGCCCTGTCACACCCCGTGACGTGATGGGGGTAACAAACGTTTGAGGAAAGGCTGTGGCAGAGCTCTGTGTGTCCTGTCTGCCTGTGCTCACACACCTTGTCAGATGGACAGGCCAAAATGCACTGGGATCCTTGTTTGCCCAGTCTCTAAGGACTGACCATCTTCCCACTGCCCACACAAGTGGGGATGGAACTCAGGCTCTGCCTTTCCCGACTTACCAATGAAACCAAAGCAGAAGCCATGAGAAACAGCTATGCAGACACCAGCACCTTCCCATCATCTTTCCAAACACACCTATTATTCTCTCTTCTCTCCAAAGGGATGATGACTACCAGTCTGCTGCTTCTAAGCCTTGTGTGAAGGAGCCAGCATCTTCCAGAGGAAGGAGCAGGCCCACATCTCCACTCTGAGAACAAAGGTGTAAAATCTGCAGAGAGCTCTGCCCTGCTGTCTCCTCTCAGCAGGAACAATCATCCCCCCAGAAGTGTGTGGACTAATGAGGTGGTAAAGATTTCTGACTCCCAGCACAAGGGAATGCAGACACTGCAGGCAGGCACCCCGACCAAGTGTTAATAGTCTGAAATAGTCTCTTGAACTGATCAGGAGCCACACAGCCCAAGGCCCACTCTTAGCTAACCTCTGCCACTTGCTGTGAGTGGTCTGTACATCCACAGACAACAGCAGCTGTGAGTACATCTCTCTAGGTACACTTACAAAAAACATATGGATTTGTATATATGAATAGAAATATATCAAAATTCTTCACACTTGGATATGAAAATCAGAGAAAGGCAAACTTTTGCCAGAAGCCAGAATTTAATTTTGAAATAATTGATTTGGTGGGCTTCTCATTTATGAAAATTGCACTTACACACTGTGATATATTGAAGTGCCCAGAGAGATTATTCCTTAATGACTGTGAATATAGGTACCCCCAAACTAAAGAGATACTTAGAGATCTGTTGCCAGAAGATATTTGTGTAGCTCCATAAATACTCTTTTTCAGAAAGTCTAAAGCTCACATGATGATCATCCAGAAACCACCCTGACACATCTCACTTGTAGTTCTCAACAGGAAAAATATGCTATTTTCTCACACCTTTCCAGGAAGTAATTTTAAAATATTTTGGCTCAGAATGAGGTGCAATTGTATTTTTAGGTTTTCAAACTATAAAGACTACTTCCAGCATTTTAATGCCCTAGCACATAATCAACCACATCATCTCAGAGCTCTCACAGAACTTACTTTTATGTTGCCTTCTGTGCTTACACCTCTGTTTCTACAGAAAATAAGTTAATATTCTCGGAATATTTGAAGAAAAAAGAAATTGTTCGTGATAAATGAGCTACAGAATTATGGAACTGCTGATGTTGGAAGGCACCTCTGCGGCTCACTCACACCAATTGCCCGACAAAAGCAGGTTTAACTGGCCGGGGCTGTTGAGGGCCAGTGACAGCTGCTCAGTGCCACGGTCCTGTCCCCAAAATCCACAGCCATGTGCTTCGAGCGCACCCTAGCGAACATCCTGTGGACGCTTTTTGTGTCCGCCTTAAAATCCTGCAAGTTTCTATATTTTACCATCAGGGCTTTGCTGGCTTGATGCTGGGGTCTGGATTTGAAAAAATATATTTATTAAAGAAAACGTGGAGACGTAGATGCCTCAGTACTTCATAAAAATCCAGCTGGGTATTTTACTCATCTATGAATTACACTGAAGTACCTTTTGCAGTCACTCACTGAATGTGAATTACAGAAGTGTTCAAAAAGGTCTTAAAAAATTCCTCTTTTTTTTTGAGTATTCTTCCTTCTATATAAATATTATGTTGCTGCTGTTACAAGAGGCTTGTGTTTCCATAAGTTAAAATCATAGAATTTCTCCAGTTGGAAGGGACCCATAAGGACTGAGCCCAAGTCTCTGCTCCTTGCAGGACTACCTAAAATTAAACCATATGACTAAGAGCATATTCCAGATGCTTCTTGAACTCTGACAGGCTTGGTGCTGCAACCACTGCCCTGGGGAGCCTGTTCCAGCCATGCTCCCAGTGAAAAGTCTTTTCCTCATGTTCAGTCTGAACTTCCTCTGAATTTCTGGCACTTGCTCCTGTAAATTTCCATCAGCTGGGAACTGCACAGCTCTGCAGCCTATCCAGATGTCTCTGTAAGGCCTCTCTGTCCTAGAGGGAGTGCACAGCTTCCCGAATTTAGCATCATCAGTAAACTTCCTTAATGTACATTCAACTCCTATGTACAGTTCATTTATAAAAACATTAAAGAGCACTGACCTAAAAGTGAGCCTTGGGTGCCTGACTGTCAGTTTGATGAAACCCCATTTACTGCAACTCCTTGAGCCCAACCTGTCAGCCAGATTTAAGATAAAACTCTTTACTGGCTGTGTCTTGTTATTGACAAAGTAACTTCAAATATATAGTTGTAAATAAATATACAAAATAACCTTAAGAAAAGGAGTCAAAAAATAAAGCCTTCAGATTTGTACAGGGTGTAAGTAATCTTGCAGCAGCCACTTGCAGAAAGTACCATAACAATAAAGAGACCTTAATAAGTGGTCCTGCAACCATTATATATGTAGGAAAAACCTCTCTGAAGTGTCCAACTGAAAAGCACATGGCTAAGGTAAACCACAAGGAGACATGTATGTTTTTATCTACCACCACTATTAATTCTCCACTTCCAGACAATACTGTTAGTTGCTCCTTTATAATTCTTTGAATTACATTTCACTGTCAGGCTGTGATGTGCACTTGTGCTCTTACCTGGTATCTCATCTTTGGGCAAACTTCAACAAAACAACAGTGGGATCTCCCACACTTACAGCAATTCTCCACTGCTTAAAGGAATACAAGGAAATGAAAAGGAAACCCCACCAGCTCTCTTACTTTGTGCTATGTTTTGTGCTACAACTGAACAACTCCCCCGTTCCAAAGACCTGCACAGGTGCCTGCACCAGTTTTGTTTTGCTGCGGAGTCCTGCAGAGCCAGCACGTGCAAGTGCACAGAAACCCATCTGACCAAGACATGTGGGACCACATGTCCCTATTCATGGTTCCCAGCTGTCAAAGCACAGCACATCCTCTAGCACCAGCCAGGCACAGAGCTATCTAGGTCAAACAGTACTTAACTATTCTCAGTCTTTGTCCTCAGCAAAGTGGCCAGACTATAGACAGCTAAATCTGTCTTTTGGTGCAGTTTTGTAACACTCATCAAGAGCTGTGCTAGAGCTAACTAACATCAGCAGCTGGGACAGCACACTGGGAGATAACTGAGTGCTGAAAACATGCATCATTCAATTCTTTCTACATTCTGTTCAAGATCACTTGGTAACACTTCCAAATCACTTTTAAATTATCTTTTTATTTTGCTGTTACCTCCTTTAAAAAAGGCATATCCCTTCTTTCCAATCCAACAACTGCAAACAGCCCAGTCAATGGTACAAAGTCAAACAAAAAATAGTCCTTCATCAAGCTACAGTTTGGTCAGGAAGGAGCAATCACAGAGACAGAGCCTGTCCCAGTTTCTTCTCTTGAACAAAGTCATATGTTGGCTGTGTGTGGGCTAAATGAGTGTCTCCTCTTAACCCTTTCCTCCTATGTAACAGCCTGTTATGTCTGTAGAGATGATTCAATTAGCAGTTTGACTCTTTCCTGGTCAATGAAGGGTTTGTGTCTCATTATCTATTCCTTCTCACTGCTACTGAAGGAAAACAATCTTTTATGTATAAGTTGGGCAGAGAATTGATTGAGAGCAGCCCTGCAGAAGACTTGGGGGTGATGGTTCATGGAAAACTCAACACCAGCAGGCAATGAGCACTCACAGTTCAAAAAGCCAACCGTCCTGGGCTGCATCCCAAAAGGGCAAGGGAGAGGACTCTGCTCCTCTACTCAACTCTTGTGAGACCCCACATGGAGTCCTGCATCCAGCTCTGGATGTAACATGGAACTGCTGGAGCAAGTCCAGAGGAGGTGACAAGGGGACTGGAGCACCTACCCTACACAGACAGGCTGAGAAAGTTGGGGCTGTTCAGTCCAGAGAAGAGAAGAGAAGGCTGTGTGGAACAAACCTGCCAGTATTTGGAGGATGCCTACAGGAAAGCCAGAGAGGGACTCTGTCAGGAACTGTAGTGCTAGGACAAGGAGCAATGGGTACACATTAAAAGAGGGGAAATTTGGGTTAGATATTAGGAAAAAATTCTTTACTGTGAGGGTGGTGAGGACTGGAAGAGGTTGCGCCCAGGGAGGTTGTGGATGTCCCATCCCTGTCAGTGTTCAAAGCCAGGCTGGATGAAGTGTTGAGCAGCCTGGTGTAGTAGGAGATGTCCTTGTCCATATCAGGGGCTTGGGACTAGATGATCTTTAAGATCCATTCTGCCCTCTAAAATTACATGGTATATTATATGGCATCACTGTGTGAGTAAAGTAGAAGGTGAGATTGGTGACTGAACAGCTCCCCAGGGCAGTGGTCACAACACCAAGTCTGTCAGAGTTCAAGGAGTATCTGGACAATGTTCTTAGTCATTTGGTTTGGATTTTATGGTAGTCCTGTAAGGAGCAGAGAGCTGGAGTCAGGGTCTCTTAAGGGTCTCTCCCAACTCCTTATGGTCTTCTTCTTCCAACTTGAGATATTCCATGACTATATGGTAAGTACAGTGGTATATGACAAGTATCACAAATCACACTGCTCTTCTGGTACAGTTCACACAAATCACCTATTTTTTCCAATAAATAAATGACACAAGATATTTAAAACAGATGTAAAACCTTAATATTTTTCAGTTAAATGTGAAATCTTACGCCTTTTTAATAACACATGAGGGACAGGAAGCAGAACAAGAGTAACACTTAGGCAAAACCAATCCATTTTATTTCTGTCAAGTTAGTATTTCATTTTTAAACAGTCAAATAACACAACTCCAGAGAACTATACCTCTTAATAGTTTACCATTAGTTATCATGACTAATGAAAACATACAAAGCACTTAGAACTTGTTTTAACCAGCCTGGAGTTTTTGTAAATCTTCAACTGTAACTGAATACCACACTCAAAACATCAAATATAGGTACTTTCCATACTGAGTTAGTAATATCAGATGAACTATCCTGGAACAGTACAGCATTGCAAAAATATCTCAGTAAATTTTGATTTAGAAGACTGTATCTGAAATTTAGAACACTGCTTGTACATAAAAGCCTACAAGCAAAAACTTATCAGCAAAATCAGTAAATGGTTCAAATATGTCAAATAAATAACACTAAGTGGACTAATAAACAATACCATTTGAAAAGAACTCTTCAGGAAGCTTGCAGTGGATATATTCACAGAATACTTTTGTACTACACCGTTCATAGTCTGAGTGGAACTGTTCATGGCAGGCAGGGATTCTTTGGCACAATGCATTTAAAATCAAAGCAAGGTGACCACACTTAGGTAAGGCAAACCCATATCAAGGCAGAGCTCTAACAGAAACCCTGTGATGACAATGACAGTAACCAGCACGCTGTGTGTGTAGAGATCATGCTTAAAAATTATTCTTTTGCAGAATGCAGCAACAAGAGATATTAGCCAAACATTTCAGTAAGAAACTGGAACTCCTATACCTTCAAGAGCACACCACAAATCACTGCCTCCTCATGAGAAATTACCAATATTGTGTCTTCTGTCATCAGTACTACATAAAGCTGGAACTGAAAAACCACAGCAAGCATATAAACTCAGCATACTCTGAAGAAATAGAACTAAACCAGAGGAGTTACTCATATTAGTGCAGATAATGACTTCTGTTACCAAGAATTCCACTTTTGTATGCAAATACAGAAAAAAAAAAGGAATTCAGGAAAAGGAATTTGATAACAGTAGTTGAAATGGAATACATTTTGGGCAAATTAGGCTTCTAGCATACACCCCAAAAATATCAAAGCTTGATGATTCTGGGGAAATATGTGCACCAACATAGCTTCTGAAGTTCTTCAGAATGTAGCAGTAATAAATAAATTCAGAACCAAGAAATCTGTTTTCAACTGCAGGAAGTTATTAATTAACAAAATGTTATCTGCAGTAAATTTGTAAATTATCAGGAAAGAAAATTAGTAAGTTAATTGACTTCTAGTTTTGGAGGAGAAAAACATTTAAGTCAATTTAATTTAATACATGAGCATTTAATTCAACGTTTTTAATATAAATCAGTTGGGAGTGTTATTCTGGACACTACTTTTGAAAGTATTTCTGAATTTTCAATTTATTCAAGTTTTTCTTTTAAGAGTGGTGAAAGAAAGAAGTGTATGGGTGGGAAGAAAGTGAAATCTTTATTGGGTCATATTCTGCACTTGGTGTTTTTACAGCCAATTTTTTCAATTTCTTCTCTCAAAAATCTGTACTAGGAAGACACATCTAATATGGGCCAAACAGCAGTTAGACGACTTCATAAAACTACTAACATACCCTACCATTCAAAACCTGAGTGCTGCAATCAAATGCTATTCCTGAAATTCCCTGGGAGAATTTCTCTCTCTAACTCCTCCTTCTCACTCTCCCTCTCGCTCTGCTCTCCAGCATTCACAGCTCCTTCATCTCTGATATGAAAGCATTGGACTTCAAGTAGAAAATCTTGCTTCTTTCATGGAAAAAAGAAAAGAAAGACAAAACAATGCTCATAGAACATACAGCAATTACTCTAAAAGTAAATCCAAGCATGACAGTATTTTATACACTTCTGTCTCCTTATCACAGAATGGGAGCATCTGTCTTTTCTAAAAGATTACTGCAATTTGAGTTATAAAAGTGAATGTGAAGAACTTTCTCATTGCTCTCTGATGACTTATTTTTTGCAGTCCTTGTGTCTTCAAACTAACAGGGCTAGAGACAGACACTTGTGACTGACTTGATTCAGTGACAGCTTTCTTCTCAACAAACTGTGTTTTTTCATCTTCTAGAAGTTTTTTCTCTTTCCCTAATTTCAGCTCCTCTTCTTGATGCATTAGCGTAAGATATTCAAATTCAGTCAGTACCTATTTAAAGAAAGCACAAAAAACATTTCCAACTGGCAACACAAGGTGGTGATATCACAATATAAAAACCCTCTGCAAAATAACACTAAAACCCATGTCAGCTTGTGTTAATAGTCAAACTGTTAAGATTAAAAAGCAGCAATACAGAAAAATAATAACTTTTATCAGACTGTTCTCATGATCCAGGATACTACACTCAAAGTACAGGTAGAAAACATGGAAGGCACTAAGTGAATATCAGATTCCCTCCTACATTTTACTGTATCTTCATTGTATCAAAATAAGGAGGCCTTTAGAGCTAAACTAATTATCAACAGACAGATTAAATCAAGATGACTCAAGCAGAATATAGTGGGGAAGTGTATATTGATCAGATTTAAATACAACCAGAGTTAGTCTGGTTGGGGAGTTACTGGTGGGCTGCAAGAAGCTACCCACTTCTCAGCTCTTTGACTAGGTGTTTTTGACATACTAATGCATTTTTGTTTCCAGATGTATTTTGACCAGTTCAAACCTATTGTGAAGTTGTATGTGACAACAAATGAGGTACTTCATCCTTCCTCATCTCCCATTTCCCCACACACAAATTCTCCTAGAATCCTGCTTTTGCAAAGAAGAAACTAACTAAGACTATAAACATAACAATATGCCTGCTGTACACAGCAGACCTACCAAATTTTATAGGTGCACCTGCAAGTCTCCTCTAAATGAATGATGTGAAAGAAATCTGAAGTTCAACAGAAATTCCCAGTTTTCTTTAGTTTCCAGATACAAATACAGCAGTAAGAGAACATGACAAATGTTCTTTAGGAGTGATTGCATGATCACTTTCCCACATCAGGAACTTAAAAAACTAATATCTGTAATTCTGCAATATGTAGACTTCACAAACCACTTGGTATAAATCATACAAGGAAAATATCAAAGGGTTAGCACAGATACTGTGTAAGACCTTGCTGAACCTGCTTTGAACATGACTAAGCATTCTTCCAATTGAATAGCCTCACACTGAGAAGGACTGAATCTCTTTTTTTTTCCTCTACAAGTAGCATGGGGATCTTAAGAGATTTAGAAAACAAATACTAAGCTGCCTTCTTATTTAGAATATGCACCTGAACACCTCAAAAAACCTGCTACAGCTTTTCTGGGTGACTGACATACAGAAAAGAACACTAATAAAAATATACAGGTTTCCAATTTCAATTAAACCAGTGTTTGAATATAAATACACATGACCACAATAAGAGCCTGGCAGAAAGTAGATGAGAAGATCCTATCTTGCTAGTCCAGCTTGACAGGACTAAATCTTCAAAAACAGAGCCAAGATACATTCCACATTTTCAAACAGCCTTAAGGCAGCTGGGAATAGATGAGATTTTGAAACCAGAACTGAAACAAACCAATAGAATACCAGACATACACACTTTCAAATCTCTTAGTATGAGGGCTGAGCTTAGATTTAATACTTAAATCTGGAAGTCTGGCAAGCACACATGGCCCACTCTGAAAAGCCTGAGGAAATACTTTTTCCTAAAATTTTGTTTTTTACAGAGCAATCTATGCACAAAAAGCACCTACTGTGTTGTTATGGCATACCAGTGTTTCTCACATTGCTAAAGAAGGCAAAGAAACACAAACACTATATTCATCACTCTCTTACTTCACTATATCAACTCCTCCTCTACAGATGTGCACCAGCTACCCACCAATGCCTTTAGACTGTAAGCTCCTGCCTTCCCAAAACAAGATCTATTTACAGAATCACGGAATCATGTACGCTGCTGGGAAAGACCTTTAAGATCAAGTCCAAGCATGAATCCAGCACTGCCAAGTCCACCCTTAAACCACATCCTCAGGTGCCACATCTACACATATTTTAAATGCCTCCAAGCATGGTGACTCACCACTTTCCTGGGCAGCCTGTCCTCCAATGCTCAACAATCTTTCTGTGAAGATGTTTTTCTAATATCCAGTCTAAACTTCCCATCACACAACTTTAAGTCCATCTCCTCTCATGTTGTCACTTAGCAATTGGGAGAAAAGACAAACCCCCAAACTCACTTCTCCTTTCAGGCAGTTGTAGAGAGCAATAAAGTCTCTCTCCCCTGAGCCTTCTTTACTTCATGCTAAACAACCCCAGCTCCCTCAGCTGCTCCTCATAAGACATATTCTCCTGTTTGCTGGTGTCTAATCAAACTGCTTTTGATTTAATGCATTACTGTCCTCAAAATATTAGGAAATTATAAATATCAACCAGTGATTTTGTTAAGAACTTAGCTGTTCCAAATCTCAGAAAACAAACTCAAGACAGACAGGCATGCTTGCCTGTTGCTCTGCCTCTTCCAACATTGCTGCTTTCTCCTTCACTCTCTGCACAAATCGTTGCCATATCTCCTCTTCTTTTCTTTCCACTTCAAGGCAGAACTCCAGCCTCTTTGTCTCAATGACTTCCTGTAGACTGAAGTTCAAAAATGTAAGCAACTCTCCAGCATGCTGCTTTATTCAGTGTGGAAAACCAACAATCCAGAAAATTATTTGAACAATTAATACTCATCTGAAATATTAATTTCTACAGCTTCCCACATAAAAATTCAAGAAGAAACCTAAACAGAAGCAAGCATCTTATCTTTCTATTTTTTTTAATTTACGTAAACAACCCTGAGTTACATTACTTATGCTAACAGCTCCTGGGCAATTTACATTTCAAAGTAAACGCAACACTTCAGGCATCTCATGTTCTAAAGACTTGATTTATACCTTTCTGACTCCAACATGCATAAGCTTCTTCTTTAAGTTGCTTACTACTAAGACACTGAAATTGCCAGAAAAATCTCACAAAATTTCCACATTGTGAAACCTCAGTCTTCAAGTAGGACCATACAAAAACAATTAATCTGGAGCACTAATGTAACAAAAAACTGATTGCTCCTATATGAAAATGGAAGAAAATAACAGGATCTTCAGAACATATAGCACTCTTTTTTCATGTCGAAATTTAAATATGGCAGAATTACATTAATAGAGAATGAATTCAATTTCCTAAATAGTCCAACATCTAAAGCACAGGGTTGCGTTCCAACATGCAACAGCCAAAACCCCAAGACTGCTTGTTTTTTCCTGAACCCTCTCTTCCAGAAGTAAATAAACTGCATATATCCTATACATATATTTGAAACTATATAGGAGGAGTAAATTAGTTCAGATCATTGAGCAAATCTCTGGCAAAAAAAAAAAAAAAAAAAAGTCAGGAAGTAAATCAAACATTTCTTTTACTTTTAAATCGATGCCTCCCTTCTCTTTTCAGTACACAAGACAATTTTTTTCCCTGCAAACAACAGGTACCTGAAATTGAGATACTTCTTTCATGTCAAAACATATCATGGCAAGTTAAAAGATGCTAGTAATTTATTCATATGAATAAACTACTAGAGGTTTGACATTTTCAGAGTCTATACTAGTGCTGCCAGGCTGTGCTGGTGGGAAATGTTTGCTTTTCAAGAAATATGAATGGAGCTTGTACACAGACGTACACCAAACCTCCTTTGAAAAGCAAACCTGCTTAATGATACAAGTTCTTCCATCAAAACATTAACCATAAACTTCTCTAAGTCACACGATTCCAGAGAGCACAACTGGAGGACCACAGCTGTTTTAATGGTTATTGAAAACTCTAAAGCATTGTCTTCTATGACATTTGGCTTAAGAACAGCTCAAAACCTGGATAATGTTCTAGCTTTTTTCTGGGGCCGTTCTTTACATGTTTTGCTGAGTCAGCCCTTCCCAGCTTACATGAGTTACTGTCCTTTGCCAGGTAACTCATGCCTTCCACCCTCATGTAAAATAAATAGGTATGTATATTAAGTATTTCACTTTGACTTATACTTCTAATATAAACACACACTTATGTTTTTGTCCTATCTTTTCTTGTTTCTATTTAAACCATTTATAAATGGAAAAACTTACCAAAAAAATCTAAAGAGTTAATTATTTAGAGCAACACTAAGCTTAAACAACTCTCTTCTATCTTTAAATTTATGGTGACTGGGCAGTTTCTCAATCCTAAAGTTTCTTATTTGTATTCAAAATATCATCTAAAGAGAGAAGAAACATCTTGAAATTGCACATGCAGACAATGTTCATAAGGTATCAAGGCCAGAGCACTCCCTCTATTCTATCTAATTCGAGCACTACATGGCAACAAAATAAATTCACAACAATTACCCTTTTGTGTTTGGGCTTGTTTTGGGGGCTTCTAATCAGCTGTGAAATGACTTAGGTCACCCTAAAATTCTAAATCCTCAAATCCACATGAAACAGGGGCATGGTTTTCACACAGACGTATTAATTCACACTATCTCTAAGTTTAGACAATAATGCTACAGCACATGTTTTCCAACTGCTAGCAATCTCACACTATTCAGGCTTCTGCACACAGTGTCAGTTCGGATAGATAAAATGCTGCCTTTGGGAATGACAAAGCTGCTAGAGCAAATGCTAGATTATGTTAACATGCTACAATCACACCTTTATTTCTTTATGTGGACATCTTTAGACCCAGACTAGGTTACTTTATCAGGTAAAAGCAATTTTGTGTTAAAATTAGTAAAAGATTAACTTTGAAGACACTCAACTCAGTAAATATTCATATTACACATAAAAAGAAGAGGAGAAATAAAAGTGTATTTTTAAAATTTACTGTGCAGGTGGTTGTGGATGCCAGTACATGTTCATGTGGAAGTGTTCAAGGCCAGGCTGGATGGGGCTCTCAGCAACCTGGTCTGGCAGAAGGTGTTCTGTCCATGGCAGGTGGGTTGGAACTAGATGGTCCTTGAGGTCTCTTTCAATGCCAACCATTCTGTGACTCCAAGAAATACCCCCTCCCCCTGGACTGAATTGCTCTGGGAATCACCAAGACAGAACTAAACCAAAATTTCTTTTTCTGTGTGTGACATCCCAGCAACACAATAGCCCAAACACTCTTAAGTGCTAGGAGATTTGGGGAGGAAGGAAAAACAGTTCACCACATCTTAAGCCAGTCCTTTCAACATTACTTCATCCACTGCTCATAGTAAAATATATTTTGGTTTATCTGAAGACTGGTTTCACTGCTTCTCTTTTAGTACATTATGAAAATCAAGTTCACAGGAACTCTCATTCTTCTGGGTTACGCATCCAGAATGAAATACTCTGTACAAAGACACTTAAAAAATTTAAATGTTATAACTAATTATTTAAATAATGTATTCTTACTGAGGTTTTGTAGTAAGGGATTGTGAAGAAAGTCTAAACTGATCATACATACCAGCACTACCACCTGCCTTTCTACAGAAGCATAGCTGTGACAGTTTTTTCTGCCTGTATGAGACTGAAAGCATGGAAGCCTAAAATTGCAAATGAGACACATTATGTTCATAAATAAAGACTCTGAAGTTAATTTAACTCTCAGTGGAACACAATGTGCACTTTGAACAACACAGGTATTTAAAGTTTATTCACTTCCACTTTTAAAAGCTTTCAAATTTGAATGTAACACTTATAACTTTTTGCAGAACATTTGACTATTAATTAAGGTACATCAGAAAAACCAAAAAGAAAAAATTAACTAGTGGCAGGTATTTCTAGCACTGTGCTTTGACTCAGTTGACTAGCTCAGTTGATTATTGAGCAATAATAAGGATGTGGTAGACCTAAAGAATTATCAATTTTTCAGTAGGGGCAAGAAAGCCATGTATTTGGGTGTGGCCCAATCTCATTCTAAGAAGGTTAAAATATTTAGCTTAAATGCAAAGGTCTGCAGCTGGTCAGATGAACTCCATGGCCAAGGACTTCTTAAGGAAAATGTCTAATAGCCTTTCAAATGTTAGGTTTCCTTTCTTAGACACAAAAAGAGTCACATCAACCTTCCTCTACATAAAAACTTCTTCATGTCACTGAATCCTTCCTGGTTTTCTGTCATCATCTTCAAAAAAACTGCAAAATAAACAAGTTCAAGAGCTGCATGGTCTAAATATCCCAGTTTCGGGGAAGAAAAAAGCAAGGAATGATTCTCCACACACTGAGAAACCAAGATGCTTATGTTACAATAATGTTTAATTGCAATTATAATGAAGAACAAACTGTAATTACGATGACAGAAGAACAACTAACCCAGAGAATGATTAACATTAGCAAATCTAAACACACAAGCATACAGCCTGAATATCAATCCTCAGCTTTTTTCAACAGATCCTGGTATATTACTTTCCATCTTTCAAAACGAAAATGTGCCCATAAGCAACAACTTTAATTGAAAAATGGAGTCAACAAAATGTCCAACTTTAGAACACTAGCAATCCTCTCCTCCCTTGCTAATGCCTAGGCTAACTAGGTATGTGTGTGTGTATATTTAGAAGTTTGTTTCCCTGGAAGCACTCTTCATGTCAAGATGTCTGTTTTCAATTATTCCAAATTTTGCCATTCAAAACATCTCAGCAATTATCTCTTGCTGAGAATGACCTGAAACTGGAATTCATGTTCCTAATGGGCATAACTGGACCATCAAAAAGGCAGGACCAGACCATCTGCACACACACAAAAAAGTTTATCTTTTCAACAACAAAGAAATGCAAATGCCAATTTTAAGTAGCAAAAAATTATAAAATTATAAAAAATTAATTTCTGAATTTTATATCCAACAGATACTGCATAAAATGCATAAACCACATTCTAAATACTCTGCTATCCATTGACTTCATTACTTCATTCTTAGAATGCAACTGCAGACTAACAAAAAGTTATTACGAAATAGCTCCACCAAAATGACAGGATTTGGAATAGGTGTTTTTAAAAGTACGCACAAGACAGTCACTTCAGACTACCTTTATTCTCCCCTCTCAGACCCAGTAATAAAGATGCAAACATATTTTTCTGCTGTATGCTGAAACCATCTCTTTCCACGTCACCCATAAAAAAGGTAAAACCTGCCAACATGTTTTTACACGCATGTAAAAGTGTGTTTTACGCATATGTTAGAGTAAAAGGCTTTACAGATGTCTGCCCACAACCCCTCCCATAAGGCAGCTGGGCATCCAAGAATTACTGGTTTTGCCTTGCAGTGGCATACAAGTTTGGATAAATAAACTAATGTCCTACTTCTAAATCCAAAAGGGTAGTACAGGAACTTCACAGGCAGCCTCTTCCCAATATGCCAAAAATCATGGCACATTTGCTACTCAAGTGTCAGTGTTCAAAGGCTACAAACAGCCAATTACTCAAGTCTAGAAAAGGTTTTCTAAATCTATGTTATTATCAAATTTAATATGTAGACAGCTACATCACAGGCACAAAATATGAATTCTCAACATGCATTTTGATCATTATTTATACAACTAGCATGAAATTTTAATCTTCAGGCATATACTGCTATGCAATATTAATTACTCTAAAACTACCCCTCTTAGAATTCACATGTATATATTGTAAACATCTTTAAGGATAAAGAGGATGACAATTTAATAACACAGTTTTGCCTAAAACAACTGGATAGTCCCTATTCTAAAAGTTATTTAAATGTACAAGCAAACTGGGAACCACTAAACTTCCTCTATGTAAAAAGACATTTTCCATCACATTGCTGAGGATCACACTTTTTATTGTTTCCTCAGTAACCTGATAAAGCACCTTATGGGTAAGGCTGCATTAGACTGCTAATTACACTGCATACACATCCTCTAAATTCTCTTTCTTTTCTATAGTATCATAAAACATCTCTCCCAAAAGACCAAACACCTTCTCTCTCAGACCTCCGTGTCATTCACTATGCCACACTACTGAGGGACAACCACATATATCCTAGTCTTACTTTTCTCTTCCTGTTGCAGTAAGTCTGGGAAAAAGGTCATTTTTCTAGATTCTTATGGGAGATCTATTCTCATCCTTCCAAAACAATGACATTTTCAATAGAAAATAGATTTACCAAAACTAATTAGTAAGTGTATTTTCTTGCCAAGTTCTCTCAATAAAACTGACATCTAGTGGGCCATAGGTAAAATCTACACACCAGAGAGAACTCAGCTCCTCTGTATATCCAAGAAGCAGACAACTTCTAAATGAGCTCTGAAGTGTAAAATACTGGGACATTCTGATGTGAACCTGCCACTTCAGCCTTTTTACAAAACATAAACTGTGCAGGGGTTTTACAGATATAATTCCTCTGCTTGTAGAAGAAAACACTTCTATGACTGATGGTTTTTATAATTTAACTTTTATCCTGAGATGGCTGTACACCATGAAATGGAGCTTCAGAAAAGGTGAAGGTACTCGAGTCAATACTGCCATGAATAAATCTCTAAAAGAAAAATCTTCCCTAGACAAGGATAACAAGAGATCAGCTATGAACAGCTATTAACACATGTTCTTAAACATAAACCAAATGAAAATTCTATGATTAATTTCAGTTGGTTTTAAACCTCTTTCACCTTTGGTTGTCTTTTCATGAAAAGGATGTATTACATTCTTGTTAAATTAAATGTCAAGAGACCACTGATTCAAGGTCAGCTCAACATCATCTAAATGAGTTAATTTGTAAATGTGCCTTGGTTCAAACAATGAGAAACTGTTTTTAAGGCAAAGTTTTATTCTGTTTTCATGCCTGGTTTAAGTCAATATTTCCCACCACAACTATGGAGTAATGGTACTTCACTAAACCATGAAGGCTTGAACAATTCACAAAGCACCAGCTCTTCCCCAGCAGGATTCTGGGACCAGTTAAAAGTACAGTCCCATGCATTTAAAAAAACCCAAAGGAAGAGGAAGACAAAAGAACTGGAAATAAAATATTAAACAAAATGGATATAAAACTTTAAATACTTCCTGCAGAAAGCAACTTTACTACATGAAACAACTGAGCGTCTATAACCTTCCTTATAACTTAACTTTCCTTTGAAATCCTCTTTTAACTCCCTACAGTCCAGCAAAAGATTTCTTGACCTGAAAATGCTAAGACATTTGTTATTATGGCAGATAATGTGGGAAGTCAACAGTGTAACCACTTATTTTGTAAAAGTTTTTGCTTCAGTTCCTTCTGAACCTGGAGTCCAACCAAACTATTATTTATAATCAGATATTCTTAAGAAAGAAAATAAAACATAATACTAACATATAATGAAAATAATTTAAAAGCTTGTAAAGCATAGATACCTAAAGAAAACAGACATGCTTCCTGAAGAAAATTTAAATCCTCAGGTGTATTATAGAAGAGAAAAAAGAATGCTGATTTACCATGAAGGTAACTGAATGAACAGCTACATCCTTCAATTATTCTTTCCCTCTTAGAAAACTTATTTTATGTATGAACGCTGCTCTGCATTGTGTTGACGTGAAGTGAATGGATGCTGAAAGCAAGTGCTGCACATTAAGTCCTTTACCTGACTGATTTGTTCTCAGGGCCAATGTCTCTGCAACCCAACTTCTCCAGCCTGCAGCGCCTGTACGACTCATAATACGCACGAGTCTTATCCTTCAAGTCTTCCATATTTATGCAAAGCATCCTGCGGAGCTTTATTGTGTCACAGTGGTTCTCATTTTCCACTAATCAGTAAAAAGATGATTTTATTATTATGCAGAAGTAGCAAAATAGTCAAAATACATTTTAAACATCATCACTTTGTTCACTAAATATACTTCTAGGAAAAGGTTATCTTGTTGTTTATTATACCTCTTACACTTCTTTATCATTTTTAATATACACACGGAAGTACTGAAGACCTGTAAGTACTGGTGAACATAATTCAACCTGTCCTGATTTGCTGCTTGAGCTGAAGACAGCCACATTTCTCTCTTTTTTAACCCTCTTTACTGACAATCACAACTGTTTGAAATTTGGTAGTGCTAGACGTACTGCCACTATCCTAACCCACCCAAATAATACCTACACTGTCTCATACTTTGATCCCAAGAATGCATCAGGGTGGATGAAATTACAAGTTAGTGGATGTCTCAATTATTAATTGCTAAATTCCTTATACTGTTGATCCAAAATACAATCAGCCTGGCATCACTGAAACAGCCCCTTGTATTATTGCTGAATTTTATACTTCAACAACAGCAAAAGCTCATAAAGATACTTTCAAGAATTCTTTTACCTTTTACAATGCCCCAAGGGTATTGACGAGCTCTCTCCATTTTGTTTCCAATTTTCACCTTCTCCATACTTCCTACCACGGCAAATGGCAAATAACCCTGTAGGAGATGTACCAATTAAGTCTTATCTGTCAGCACTCTTATGTAAAAACATTGAAACACCTCAGAAACAAATTAGGGAGGAAAACACCATTTCAGGAAAAGCCAGCAAGCAGTTTAAAACCACCCCCAGGAGATCAGTAGCTAGGCAGTATCTACTCATAAAAAACTCAAACTACAATAGAAGCAGAAGGAGCAGTTGATAGGCCCAGATGGGTGTGTTGAGGGGAACCTCAGCAAGCTGGAGAAATGGGCCAACAGGCACCTCACAAAGTGGAAATGAGGGCAATGCTAAGTCCTGCATGTCAGGAGGAATAAGTCCATGCCCCAGCACACACTGGTGGCTGACTGTCTGGAAAAGCACTTTGCAGAATAAGACATGGGGGCAACAACCTGGTGAACAGCAGGCTGTTCCTGATTCAGCAGGTCTGTCCCAATGGCAAAGGCAGCCAACCACACCCTGAGCTCCACTAGGAAATGTCAGCCCCAAAAGAACACACATTCAATCAGAGCTCATGCCCCAGAAACACTCACGTGACAATCACACACTGGAGCCTGTGCTGTGGTTACTGCTGTGGGTTTGGCACAAAGACAGGCTGGGCACGGCCTGCCTGCTCGCTGACCCACAACAGCTGACCAAACAAAGAAACACCATTACCTGGAAAATAAATCACTAGCAGAGCATGGAAGTGGTCAGTAACAAGCCACCACTTTTCCCCACAGCAAAAGGACCTGTTACTGATGGACAGCTGCACACTGTCACTCCCTGGCCAGGTAACAGAGGCTGGGAATGCACAGCCATGGGCTCCAGCATCCTGGCTCCTGTTCCCTACTTTCAAACCTCCCCACACACAAACATGGTCAGGTGTACCTACAAACACATGCAAGAGAGCAGCAAATGCAGAGCACTCAAGGCAAAGCTTCACAGCCTTAGCTGAGAGCTGGCAGCTACCCCTGGCACAGTCAGAAAGGACAACCGAAAATAAGCCAGAGTCACATCTGACTTCTTCATCCCCAGAGAAAATCTGTCCTAATTTCAAAACAAAGTACAAAATAAAAGAAAAAAAGCAGGTGTAAGACTTGCTACTGTAGAAAGTTGTAGACTTAAGGCACCTAAATATCTTCTCTACCAGATGTAAAATTGTATCTGTTGAGGAAAAGAGCAAAGTCAATCTGTCCATCTATAACAGCAATTATATATTAATTAGAAAGATATTAGAAAAACTATTTATGCATGAGAACCTCTTTTCTGTTACACATATCAACAGCAGAAGGGCAGATGATTTTTAAGTAGGGAAAAAAAAACCCCAACACATAAGAACTTTTTAAGAAGAACAAACTCGTGACATGCAAACTTACAAACTTTAAGACAACAGTGAAAGCAGTGACATGAATCAGCATTATAGAACGATGCTTTAGCATTGAAATATCAATAGTTTTGTCATTTACTTACATTTGTGATGCTATTAATCTCAGAAACGGTTTCGTCATCAGTAGGACACTGGTATATTCGGATGCCATTGCTAGTTAATTCACTCATTATTTTCTTCTTGAACTCTTGCAGCTCAGTTTTAGAAATGCTGTCTGCTTTGCCTATAACTGGTATAATGTTCACCTATGAATGACATAAATGATATGAAATGTGTGAGACTTCAATTTAGAGGAGGCAACTTTTGTAAATAGAATTGTTTTTTAAATAGCTGTTTAAAACTTCCTCTGCAATCCAAACCTTTCCATCAATTGATATCAGATTTTCACAAACAATGAAAAATATTCTCATGGGCATCATTTAACTAGCAACCAATTATTAAATATACTCCCTTAAAAGTAATTGATTCTAAGAACAAGGAAGGAGGTCTCATAGAGCCAAGTACTCAAACGCAAGCAATGCCTACTAATTAACTAAATGCCATTAAGTATTTATATCTCTGTTAAAAAAAATAGATTGTTTAGTTTATAGCAGCAGGGGACATGGCTCAGGTGTTAAATGAAAGCTGGCAGTCTAAACACAGAAAGAAAAGGAAGCTGGCTGCAAACCCTATCTACCCCTGAGCCTCTTCCCTGGGCTCCTTTCAGCTACATCTTCCTCACCTCACCACGGCTGCACGGCTTCTCCAGCACCTGACATGAGCAGAGGAGCAACACAGGCTAAAGCTTCTTGCTTACCAGTCCTTACACCAATTATTCAGAACACAGAATTCAGTTCTATTAAACTGCCCTATTTCCTAAAATAGTGATGGCAGTAACTTGGAAGCAATAGATGCCAATTTTTTCTTACAAATACTATCATCACTCCCAAAATACACATTTTTCAGAACTAAATGGAAATAATGAATATCCAAATGGAAAAAAAATGTAAATAATGAATTTTCCAATATTTTGAAAGAAAAGCATAAATAACTCTTCTGAATTTCAGAAGATGAAGTGTTTTAGAGTTCCTTGATCACAGATGCAAAAAGGAAGGAGAAGAAAAAAAAAAACCCAAAACAGCATACACACTATCTATTCTTCTGAATATTCTGCCTGAATGGAAATGCCTAAATGTCAAGAACAGATTCAAAATGGATATTTTTCAAATAAGACTTCTGTCTTAAGCAAAATGTCCCAAAGAAAAAGAAGCAAGCCAGCTCTGAAGTATGACTTCCAAGATTACCTGCTGATAGTCCTTAATCGTGTAGCATACATGATCTAAGCATATATGGGGTAAAATATCCAAAATCAAATGAAATTATGGGATTTATTTTTCTAATAACTGAACTCATTTAGAATTGTATAAAAATCTGTTACATTAGGAGTAATTCCCACCTTCAATCAAATTAGCTGAGGGACAACAGCACAGGTTTTCTCCAATGCAGGTCTAAAAATGGATGGAACACAGAGTCCTCAGAATTCAATTAACCTCTACTCTTCTTCAACATGAAAGTTGTCTTTTCAACATGAATGTTTTTCAAGCACTCACTAATTAGGACAGAATTTCTTAGAAAACAGAAAACAAATAGCAGAGAAAGTCTACCAAGAAGAACAGTAAAACACAAAATCATCAGAAACTCTGATTACAGCTATCAACATTGACATTAAATCACCACAAGTGTATAAAAATTGAAAAGCATAAAATTAACTCTGGCTTTAGATAAGCCACAAAGAAGGAAAAGAAATACATGGAACTGAAATCATTGTTGGTTGCAAGAGCAGGCTGATTTAAGTGTATTTCTGTGAATCAATATAAAAATTTCTGAAGATTCTTTCCAAAGGGAAAAAACCTAAATCCCCAAGGCACTTTACTGACTTAACCATAACCTGCATACAATTCTGTGAGAATGAATTAGAACTGCAGAGCTATTAGTTGAATAATCACTATTTCCAGGAAGAAAGAGTACAGGAAAAGATTCCCTTGCATGTGAATGAAACCTGGCTTGTCTGTAGTGATGCCATCCTAAGCAAAACTATAGAAACTACAGGATTTTCCAGTGTCTAAATGCTAGGAGTCCAAATTCTTAGCTAGTCATCCAATCCATAATAGAGAAAAATAAACTGACCATAGATACTCTGTTTTTCCTTCAAGGACTGCAGAGAACAGGATGAACCTGATCTATCCCAAGAACCCTCTGTACCTCTCAGCTGTGTAATCTGCTATTGTTTTGTAGCAGCAGACTGTAACAAAAGCACACAGTGTACACTGCAGTGGATTCAGGAAGAAACTCAAGACAGCTTCCACATAGATTTACACTTTTGATGGATGCATGTGGCTGTAACATCTTCTCTTTATGGAATCCTGTGCTCAATGAATACACCCAGGGACTCCCACATCCTTGGAAATTCCAAGTTCTTAACTGCCACTAGGAGAATGCAGTACTAAAAGCACCACAAACATGCTCCACAACAAGATGGAAACAAAACTACAGTTAAAGCACATAACTCTTTTGTGTGTATATGGATATTTCTGTAGTAAGATCAGAAAGAATCCATTGCAAAGGGATAAAACAACACAGTTACATGTGGTTTATGCTCCCTCTGTGCCAAAGCAGAATTAAAAATTTTTGCAGTAGGTGGATAAAAGTCAAAATTCCTCACAGCAGAATTGCTTTTGGTTTATCCTGATGGAAGTGTTTTCTTAGGATGCTAGAATTTGAAGATCTATATCCTTTTCTTTTGAAAGAAACACTGTTTTAAAGGAAGTTCAGTAAAGAGCAGGCACAACCTAGAAACCAACAACACAGAAATGTGCTCTCCCCTACCTTTGTACCACCATACCTTCCCTTGTCTGCTATTGATAAGTTCAGAATGCAAAATACATCCTCAAACAAAGTAACAAAAATCCCAAATGTGCTTATCAAACACAAATGTGGACTAGACAGCTGATTTAATCCTTGATATCTTGGAAAAACTTCTCTGAAACAAGAAAATTCAGGAAGAAAATTTAGTGGGAGGGGCTCTAATACAGCACAAAGAAAAAGGCAAAAGGCACAGAAAATGCATTTAAGTTTTCAAAATTTTCAACATTTCAACAAATTAAATCCAAATAATATAAGGTTTCTTAAAATAGGTTAAAGATTTAGCTTCACACAGCCCCATTACAGGAAGAAAGTTAAGGATTTAGAAAATGCATGTAATTTCACTAGAAAGTGCTATTTCAAAGCTTTCTAAACAAATCAATATGTTAAAACACTACTGCAGCCTATCACAGAAAAAGCCACATTGGCAGAGTGTTCTGTCCATGGCTCTTCATGCCTCTTCAGTTATCTAAAAGAAAGATCTTCAGTGTTGCAGAGGTTTTTAGATACCAACTTTCCAGCAGTCCCAAAACTAGAAACAAGCTTAATTAGAACCAGTAAAGTGCTTACAGAAGGTACCCTATCCAATCTCACTACTATGCTTAGGGTTCAATAAAAGTAAAGTTGGTGTGGTTCTACTTTTTTTAGTATTTTTTTAACTTTGTTGTGATTCTTTTTTCAATGTTCTTGCCATACTTCTCTCTCTTGATTTGCAAATAAACAAGTGATGAACTGCAAGCTACGTGCAGAGCCCATTTATTTGGAACTTTAAGTATATCAGTACCAAAAAAAATTACAAAACCAAATTCATCAATATAGATCCGAAACATGGTAGTGGACCTAAAAGTTACAAGATGCTTTAGAAAGTAAGACAAATTCTTGGAACTGTTTCCAAGTCTTACCTTACTGTCTAGGCTTCTCATAGTTAACAAATCTATGGTTTTTAGAGAACGGCCTGTAGGTGAAATGAAATAGAGGCAGACATGGATGCGGGTATCATGGTAGCTAAATAAAGAACGTATAACTTTCAGTTCTTCCTCGAGATAGGCTTCAAATTGTGCATCTACATAGTCCACTATTGGCTGATAGCTGTAGGAAATAAAATTTAACAACCAGATATTAGCTACTCCTAAACAGAGACAGACTAAGAAGGGAATTCTCTTGTATTGTTCTGCAGATTTTTGCTTTACATGTCAAAAGGCCGGTCAAGTAGGACAGAAAATTATGTGTACAGAGTAATCCTAATTTCTGAAAAATTACTCAGAAAAGAATTGTGCATCTAATACAAACAAAATGTTTCCTAGCTACTACCATTAGTGAAAAAAACTATATAATTATGATTATAACAAACTTCCCAAGTGATAGTTTTAAATTTTTGCAATTAAGTTGTGCAAATGCAGAACTCTTAAACATAAGGAAGATACACAACCTCTTAGGTACAATACGAGAAAAGAAAGAAATATGTAATTAATAGTACCAAGAAACAGGATTAACTTTATCATCTGAAGTACCGTACACAAGAGGGCTCTTAAACAGTAGGCAAAAACTAAAATGAGAAATGTTAGAGAATAAAAATCTGATTCATAGTAAGTACAGTTTAAGTATACTTTATCCTACCTAAAACCAGAATCTAATGTGCTTTCAAAAAGAAAGTTTTGCTAGATGTAGAAACAGTGCACCCTTACATTTCTTCTGCTCCTCAAAGTTGACAAAGCAGATCAAATACTATCGAAATCCAGAAGCAGGTGTTACAACACACAAAATCAAAAGGACAAAAAGGCACCTCCTATATCACAAATCAAAACCTGTAACAGCTATACTAGTATCTACTTGCATCTCCTTCATCCAATTCACCACCAGCAGCTATTATCCAGTCATATCATGAGCCACAGCTGTCATGATAATCTTAACGTGACTCTCTAACCTTTCATTATATGAGTACCACCATTCAGGTACTCACATGGCACAAATCCTTACAATTACCTTGAAAGAAACAAAATCTGCTGAGACAGTTCAGTCCTGTAAAAAAGTCACGAAAGCAGAGACTCAAAAAAAGTTCTGAAAGACACCAGTGTGCTGCCTCTACATCTTCTGACTAAGCTGATTGACACAAAACACAAAGGCCTTTGGTAATCCACATGATTAAACTTCCAGTTTAAGTCTTCAATAAGTTACAATGAAATTGTTAAAAACCCTGTAGATCTAATCTATATAATCTACAGTACTTTATCATCTGCTTGGCTGTTTAAAAACCCACCCATTGAACTCCCTGCTTTTCTCCGCCCCAAAAGAAACTACTGCATGTACACACATTCATAAAAGATTAGGAAAGAAAAGATTTCATAAAGAAAAGGGCAGAGTTCATCTGAATTATAAAATAATTTCTTACATGAGAAGAACAATGTGTTTTCTTTGGCACACGGAAAACACTTAACAATGTACTTGGAATACATGTAAGACAACCTCTTACTACAAAAGCCCAAAGAAAAATCAACTTGCACTTAAGACCAAAACTCCAGCATAACAGCGACAAGAGGGCACTTACCTATCTGCTTTGTTCATCTGGTCACCAAACCCCACTGTTTTTACAACTGTCAGCTTCAAAAGAACATTACTTTCCTGGAGTTCAAAAGTCTGGGCTCTAAGTCGCACACTTGACAGAAAATGTGTTGATGGAGAGTCCTCAAAATCAGTGTTAAACAAACTGCTCACCAAGGCTGATTTCCCAATTCCAGTTTCCCCTGAAGTTAAACAGAAGGGTTGGAAAAGACATTTTTCACATCAAATAAATACATAATCATCTCAGAAAGCGTACACAAAAACTCAACTGATTTCTCTGAGCAAAACTGTGCATTTGTGCATTCTTTTAGTGAACATTAAATATATTTTCATTATTTTTTCATCCTACATATAAGGGTAAATTATCAGCTAATGAGTAATGAGCAGAACAATGTCTTGACACTTTGGTTTCTTTTAAAGTCTGAATTAACTTCCTACAGATTTTGAAAAGTTAAGTATCTAGCTGTGAAACCAGAGATTCAACAAGCATCTTTTAAGAATAAGGGTCATTTGATAAAGTATAGAAACATTTCAGTAATATCACCTTGGAATTTCAGAAGTTTTTTAATCTGAAGCTCTTTGTTACAGGTGTAAGCCCCATTTACTCAAAAAAAATCCAACAGGCTGCTGAAAAATGAATAAATGGCTGCTATACATTTTCAACATTTTTTGGTCTTCACATTGTTTAGGAAACCCAACACACAAACCCAAATAAACAAAGCTGGGAGAAGGGGTGGAATTAAGTTCATGCTTGACATTAAAGAAAGTGTTTAACACCACAACTGGATTTAAATTCCAGTCACTTCCTAAGATGGATACACCACTAAAGCCTTTAGGCACCCAGATCTACTCACCAATGCAAAGAATGTTGAAGCAGAAGCCATGCTTGATGGATTTCCTAATCAGTTGGTCAGGTAAGCTATCAAACCCAACATGTGCAGACAAGGACAAAGTTCGACAGCCAGCATTTTGCTAGAGAAAAATAATTTTAAAATATCAGTTAACACTGGCAATAAAAATTCTACTAGAAAGTTAAACACATTCCTTATGATTTCACATGCAATGAAGAAAAGCCAAAGTCTGAAAAAAAAAGACCTGTCAAATGAGCTTTTGTCCATGATTTGAGGAAAAATGTCAATTTACTTTACAGAACAATTTCAATGCTTAAAAGGAAAAAAAAAAAAAAAAAAGGAAAAAACCCAAAACCAAACAACCTTATGAAACATGAATGAAATAAAGTAGACAAGTCCAACTGAAAATGCAAACTGAAAACTGTAGGGAGAAAATAGAACACAGTCGGTTTGCTCTTAGAAAATACAAAAAAAGGTACTAAAAAAATCTAAGCATCAGAATTCAAAATAGAAAGCATAATCAGAGGAAGGCATGCATTACCAAATGGAACTCATTCTGAGGAGCTGGAACTGAAATTGCTATTAATGTTACCTAAAATATTATCTACACTCATTATATGCACCAGAACTCTGAGACAGCATTACATGTATTTCATTGAAATATCTAAAGGTGCACATTCCTTTTCAAACATCAGTTAGCAATCTAGAACCATGACACCAAGGCAGTGGCACACTAAAATGCATAAGGCTAAAAGGAAATATCTTGATCCACACAAATGAACTGTATTTTTAAATAAACACTACATATCAGAAGTAGAAATGGTGACAGCTCCATGCTCTTCTTTCTCTTATATTTCCAACCCACATGGAATTGGAAACTATTACTGTCTCCTGTGAACATGCACATAGTCAAGAGTAGGAAAATTTTTAATTTAACACTTAAAAGCCCATTAAAGTGACACCTTTTCTAATAAGTATGCATAGCAAGTCTCAGAATTCTTGCAGCTAGAAGGATATGGATATTGCTCATGGCATATACTCATCCACTTCTTTATTTGAACAGGACTTTCTTGTATGGGCTTACAGACTGCACCGCACCAACTCTCATTTTAGATTCCCCTAATTCGATAATTCCATTTTAGACTAATATGAGGGAAAATGCATATGCAAAGTGAACAGTTTAAAGAGAAAATATTACATCTTTGGGGTATTAAAAAAAAAGCACATTCAAAGCACATCAGAAAATTTCTCAATTTCTCAAAATTTCTCAAGGCATTCTACCTGAAGAAAATTACTACCAAAACTGACAGGAGCCCTGTCAGTTTCCTGTCCGTTCAAAGACAAGTGTATCTGAGACAGTGGCTGCACATCTCTGAACTCCAGCTACTCAGTCTGACACTCAAAGCACCTCTATTGCCACTAGGATAACACAGTTCCTCTAACACAAACCACCCAGCCTCCACACCAAAGGCCAGTGCAAGAGGCTCAGTGTGATTGCAGAAGGGAAGCCTTTCACCTTCACGTCATCAGCATAAATCCCAGCCTCTGCACTGCCATTTGTAACTCTCCAAACAAAAAAAACCTCACAGGAATAAATTTATTTCCTTCTGATGTCCAGATGTTAGAAAGATAAATTATTTTGTCAGCAGAACTGCCTTGTTAAGGCTCAGGGCTTGACATGCCTCGATGATCTCAGACCTGGAGGAGGTTAACAAAGCCTGGGGAGAAGGATGTGCTAACGAGAGTGGACACAAAAAATACAAAATTTACGGGCCACAAGGACATTTGGCAGAACATCCAATATAAGGAAGAAACTAACAAAGCCAAGTCAGCAACTATGCTGAAATCAACTGACTCAGCTCCAAGGAAATTTTAGCAGGAGATTGTGACCACCGACTCACAGACCACCAACTCAAGAAACTCACCCATTCAAAAGAAGAGAAAAACCGCGAATGTGAACTAATTAGCATGACAAACGAGAGAATCACAATCAACAGAAGGTAGACACTAATTAAGAAAACCATGCAACCAGTAGCCAATGACCCTTGATTTCCTTGTTTGCTAAAATCTATAAATGTAGTTTTGATGATTGGGCAGCTAGCATTTTGTGGGTCATCACCTAGCACCACACTTTGCACAAACTGGAATAAAGAAATAGAAGTAGCTTGTTTCAGTATGTAAATTGCTGCTGCTTACCAAGCAGCGAGCACTCACTCATTCAGGACAACACCTCCCTTCCTCACACAAGAATCACTGTGTAAACCTATTCCATCTGAGAGCAACTCATTGTCTTAATAGAAAAGCAGAAGCCACATTTTTCCCTCCGAAATTTTCCACGGACATGGGGTGTCAATTTCTTTGTCAATAGCAGAAACCACATGATATCTGCATTCTTACTACTTCTAAAAGAAAAAAAAAAATCACCTAGTTAATCACGTAATTAATATCACCTAAATATCACCTAACTCACACCTCACTCCTTCCCTCAACCCCATTTTTAAAGGTTGGTGGCATAACTAGATTTCTCCAGAATCGTTAAATTGGATGGGGCTCTGAGTGACATAGTCTACTGAAAACTGTCCCTGCCCAGAGCAAGAGGGGTGGGACCAATCTTTTTCAGATCCCTTCCAACCCAAACCATTCTAAGATTCTATGATTTAATCAAATATTTTGGTTTATATAAAGTTGTCTTGCCCATCAAAAACAGTATGAAAAAAAAACATGGCCTGAGACTGTGTAACATTTAAAAATTATTTCTTTCAGAAAAAAAAAAAAAACTAAAATAATAGTAATCTTTTAAATTTACCACATTTTTTTGACCAAAACTGCACAACACCTTCCCTTTCTAACGCAAAAGCTAAGTCTCAGACTACATGCATCACTCTGCCTATACCTCTGCTGAACCAGACTTGCAGTCTAAGCAAGAAAGTAGCTTGCCACTGGATTTGTAGATGTGACTGAAAGTTGCCGTCTAGAAGTCGAAGAAAACCGTACCCAGAGTGTTATTCTGCAGGGGGTGAGGGTCCCGGCAGCCTCGCCGAGGAGCTGGGAAGGATGCGGCGCCTGTGGACATCCCCCATGAACGTGCCCGTGGGCACCCCAGATCCGACTCCTCCTGAGCCCCGAGTTCTCCACTACTACCGACAGCATGGGAACTACGCTCCAGCACTGCCGCGTGGATGGGCTCAATGTCTTCAGAACGTAAGCTGACAGCTTTGCCATTACACAGAAGTAACTCTTCAATACACAAGATTCAACTTATTACCTGAAATACGCGATACACCAGGGGAGCGCTAGGAAGAGTGACACCTGAACACAAGTTCCTTTAACATCAAGTGTTCTAAAAGCCTGACAGCTCCGGGAACTAGCGTGAGGAAGGAGCCTTCATCTCGCCCGCTAACCCGACCCGCACCCTGACGCGGCCCTCAGCAGCGCTCGGCACGGACAGGGACAGCACCCGGCGCCCCACAGCGAGGGCAGCACATCCACCTCTTCCTTCGCACGGCGAGACCGCCACCCTCCTTCCCCTCCAGCTGCCGGCGCTGCCGGGCCCCTCCGTCCCCTCAGCCGCGCCGGGCTCACCCCCGCCACAGGGGCCGCTCACCCGCCGCTCCCTGTGCCGCGGAGGGGACTTACCAGGTGCTCCTCGGTATCGGAAGCGGCCATAGCCTCGCCACAGAGACAGAGAATGAGGGAGGAGAGTAGAGAGAGAAGGACGCAGCCAAAACTGCCGCCGAAGGGGAGAGCCACGCGGCGGGGAGGAGCGCGGGGAGGGGATGCGGCCACGGCTCCGCCGCCGGGGCGGGCGCTGCTAGCGGGCGCCTCCCGGCCGGAGGGCGGCGCGGTGCCGCCGCCGCGGCAGTGATTGCCGGGCATGCTGCCGCTGGGAGGAGGGGCTCGGGAAGCGGCGGTTCTGCCGCGCCCGCGCCACCACCATCACCAGTAGCGGCAGTAGCAGCAGGAGGAGCGGCAGCGGCGCGATGGGGTAGCGGCGGCGATGGCGGAGCCGGCGGAGCTGCAGGAGGAGTCAGTGGTGCGGTTCCTGGCGGCGCGGGGCGGGCGGGCGCGGAACGCGGAGCTGCTGGAGCATTTCCGGGACTGGCTGAACCCCGCGGAGCCCTCCCGCCGCGCCGCCGCCCGGCATCGCTTCAAGGAGCTGGTCAACGCAGTGGCCACGGTGCGCCAGGAGCCCGGCACCGGCGTCAAGTACGTGCACCTCCGCCGCCGGTACTGCGCCCCCGAGCCCCCCGCCGCCGTCCCCCTGACCCCCGGGGAGCAGGAGCCGGCGGCGGAGAACAGCGCGAAGCAGCCGAGCCCGCCGCCCTCCCCACGGGCAGGGGCTGAGGAGACGCCGCCGGCAACAGGCGAGGATGCCGGCAGCCGCCCGCAGCCCCCGGGGCACCGGGGCGAGCCGCCCCGACCGAGCCCGGCGGTGGCTGGAGGCCAGCGGAGGGGCTCCCGGCGGGGGCCACCGCCCGGGCGCGGCGAAGGCGGCGGCGGCGAGGAGACCGCGATAGCGACGGGCCCGGGGCGGCCCCCGGCGACGGACGAGGCGGGGGCGGCAGAGGGAGCGCCCGGGGCGGCGGCGCAGGGCGGCGGCCGGCGGAGCCTGCGGGAGGCGGCGCGAGGCAGCTCCCCGCAGCTGAAGCGCGGCGCCCTTCCCGGCGGGGGCCGCGGCCGCGACTCGGACAGCGCCTCGGTGGCCTCGTCCTCCGCCGAGGAAGAGGGGAGCACCACCGGCTCCGTGGCGCTGGACCCCCTGGAGCACGCCTGGATGCTGTCGGCCTCGGACGGGCGGTGGGAAAGCCTGGAGGGGCTGCTGAGCTGCGAGCCGGCGCTGCTCTGCAAGCGGGACTTTATCACCGGCTTCACAGTGCTGCACTGGGCCGCCAAGCACGGGCGACAGGAGCTGCTGGCCACGCTGGTCAACTTCGCCCATCGGCACGGGCTGCCCGTGGACATCAACGCCCGCACGAGCGGCGGGCACACGGCGCTGCACATCGCCGCCATGCACGGCCACGCCGAGGTCGTCAAGCTGCTCGTGGGAGCTTACGACGCCGACGTGGACATCCGCGACTACAGCGGGCGCAAGGCCGCGCAGTACCTGCAGCAGGGCACCTCGGGGGACATGCGGAACCTCGTGGGGGCCCTGGAGGAGGAGGAGGAGGAGGAAGGGAATGCTGGCAATGGGAGCGGGCGCTGGAGGCTCTCCAAGGTGTTGCCATCTAATCTCATGAACTACCGGCTCTCCCACCACCATCACGGCACTGGGGAGGAAGCTGAAGGTACGGATGGGGCAGCGGTGCCGGGCAAAGGCAAGGAGATGACCAGGAAAGCCTCTGGCAGCGGACGGATGAAGCCTCGGCTCAATAAGATCCGCTTCAGGACTCAGATCATCCACAACACGCCCTCCTTTCGTGGTGACGCTGAGGAGGAAGAGCATGAGGAGAAATCCCTGAAATCGTCATTCAAGCTCAGGCCAAAGTCCAATGTGTTTGGATAAGGCCAGGGAGCAGGAGGTCTGGGAGGTGGATGCACGGACCAAAGTGCCCTCAGGTGTAGCACAGAAGGTGAGGCAGGTACGAGTCTGCACTCGTGGACTCTGGCCAGAAGGGTCCTGAGTATCTCGCTTTAACTCCCAGTTCGGTGCGGTCAGTGAGCCCAGCAGGGCTCGGGGAGCTCACAGCTCCTCGGAGCAGCTGCTCCAGCCGGGCCCACAGAGCTGAAGTTGGAGGCAGTGGGTGGGTTGAGAAACACTGGGGTGTTTAAAAGCTGTGCTCCTTTCTCTCTAAAAGCAGGCTTTGGGATCGTAAACCTTGTTAGTGGATCTACTAGGATTAGTGAAGTGAGTGGGGGAAAGAAAAGTGCAAATGCTTTACTCTTACGCTATCAACTGGTACTATAAACTATCAGCAAACAACTTGCTATGGCAGAAGAACACGTCAGTAATATACAAGTATACCTTAAGTTTCTCTTTAACAGCAATACCACCTGGCACAGTGTGGCGTTGGGTACACAAAATGAGATGGTACAGAATGGTTTCCTGTCAGAATCCAAGCTTCAATCCATCAAAGAGTTGAGCCTGTGTTGACTTTATGCATTGGAAGTTGCTTGATTTGACATCATGAATATATTATTTTTAAAAATAATAATCCATTGCACTGCAAACAATGAATAAAGTTAACCATGTGCAGAAGTCTTTGCTGTCTGAGGTACTACTGAACTTGCTTATTGCTGTTGGAATACTAATACAAGATAATAGAAGCAAAGAGTTTTTATATATATTTGGTATCTTATGTTTTGTCTTAGGCAAAGCAATTTTATTTTGATCACTGTGAATTCTCAAGTGCCAGACCTAGCGCAGTTCCAGTTATTAAGTCTGGTCAATTCTTGTTGATGTCCTTTGTGTAACTCACTGCATTTAAATTCAGAAAATCGTGTTGTATGTGTTACCTGTGAAAGTCGTTCTCTTAGAATAAAAGAGCACAGACACCATTGCATGAAATCTTCATGAAACTCTAATATGGTTCTGTAATGTAATAGCTACAGGTCTGTGTTCGCTGGTAACTCATGTGCCAATCCCATCAACTCACACTGTGCGGAAATAGACAAAAAAGGGGAAGAAAACAAAAAAAAAGGAAGGTGTGTGAATTTATGCGTAGGGTGAAAAACTAGAACTCCAAAACCCAATCCCTATTTATCATTCTGAATGAAGCAGCATAATTACATATTCTAGTTAAGTGGTGGCAGTGGTGTTTGAGTTCTGTTAAACCTAGATTTCTAGAGAAGTGATAGCCAAGGCTTTGAACTGTTGTTTGACAGCCTAGTAAGTCTTAATCTGATTGCCGAGCCTATCCATCTGCTAAAGCTTTCGGAAACCTTGAATCTTGTTTCTCTGCTTTAAAGGTAGCAGTTCCAGTGAAACCTAGGAGGCAGATATATATCCATATTCAGCTTTCCTTAAGAGCTGAGGTACTGAGCTGACCCTGGATCCTGAATGCTGCTCAGTGTGGCAGCTCATCTGTGTTTAGTGGTTAAAGTATGGCCAGTTTCAATGCAGCATCTGTCAAAGCACATTCCGAGTTGGCTTTCTTAAGATGCATGTGCGTGCCTGGCCTGTAGCTAACCAAAAGTAGATAGGCTTTGACATGTTAAAATCCAAATTTGAAACACTGATTAAATGCATGCCACAGGCTGTAGAACACCTCACAGGAAAACTGCTGCTGGGAGTGTGCACTTTTGAGATAACAGCCAGGTCTCTGTGGCTGTTGCTAGTGACTTATTTCTTGTAGCGACGGGAAGGAAGTGCTACTGGTGCATTGGCATCAGACTTTCCATGCAGATAAACAACCAGTTGCTGCACTTCATGTCAAGATCTAATAAATGACAGTGTTTGCACAGGCATGCAAGTGACACTTCACTATTTCTGGAAAAAGCTGCATCAAAAATAATATAGAACCTCTGCATAGGTGCTGGTCATTACTTCTGTGCAAAAAGATTAGAAATTATAGAGAGGTTCAGCTTTAGTTTACAATTTATAAGCTATAATGTTATAGATTTCATGTGCCTTCATTTTGGGTTTTTTGCCTCAAATGCAGTGGAGAAGATCAGTCTTGCAAAGCGCTTTTTCTTTGTCTGTGGGATGGGACCAGAAATTTTCCCTCAGTCCTCCCTGTTTAAGCTGTACACCTGTACAGTGGGGTGTCTGAAACAGGGAAGATTAATCATACATATGATGCTGTAGAGCTAATTCTGTTGTAACAGAAAAGATAATTAGATGCCTAAGTCTTAAACTTTCCTCTGCAAGATAAATAGGTTTTTAGACTTCTGTAGGAGGGAAGTTTTCTGACTGAACACTTGGAACATGAGTATTCTTCAGTACGGGCACATCTGAATTGACCACATATTCCATGCAACTACTGATGTCCAAACCTTATTAAAGTTGTTTTCTGCTTTGAGAGTTTATGGTTCTTTCATACAGGCTGTTGGGTGAAGTGTTTCTCTCTTCACATGCGAATAGCAAAGAATTGCACAAAAATGCCAAGTCTTAGACAGCTGTTGGGTTACAGGGAAATAATTTTAGGGTTTTGAATAGAGCATACCTTGGATTTTAGGAGATTAACTGGAATATAATGTTACATAATACAGTAGAACTTTGCAGATTATTAAGGGAACTTGAAAAATGTTAAAAAGATGCCTCATTTATATCATTATTTGAAGTATCAAGGTGAAATTGCTGGTCCACTGATACTGTTTAGCTGTCAGTTAATGAAATTTCACCATAATGATCCAAAGGTCTTTGCAAGGTGGGGTGCAACAGAGCAAATATCTCTTTTGATGTTTGAAATGTGCGAAAGAATGGCTGGATAACCACTCATGTCTCTCTGCGCTATGGGAATAAAGCACTTTGATTTCACATTATGACTTGTCACATTCCACATGGTTACTTTTTATAATATGACCTAAAACTTAATGGTTTCTTTTTTTTAGGTAGGGAAGACTTGATGCCCTATTTCAGTGTATTTGCAGTCTAAAGGTATGCTTGAGTCAAATATTTTGGATACATTGCCTAGAAAGATGTGACTGAAATGTGACTGAAATAAAGTTGTATGGTACAGAAAACTGGAGCACTTACTGGTATCTTTTTAATGGTTTGTCTGAAGTTACTGAATGTGTTTGTTCACTTTTTATGATGGTGTGTAAGGCAGAAAGACTGTAATGTAACATGTGGTATCTTTTTTTGTACTTTATGTTCAAGAAATTTTAGAGGCCTGGAAGCCTGTTGTGTTTTATTAATACACTCTTTATGGTTGTCTCTCTGAATGATTATGAGTTGAGAATCTGTAAGCTTTAGTTTTATGAAATAAAAAGAGCTCATGAATGCTC